AGGTCACAACAACTGATCCTGGGGCGGAGGCCATCTGTTTGCCTGTCTGCCCTCTGCCCCAGTTTTATGCATCTTGGCTAATGTGAGCAGCTGGTGTCTGGCCAGGTGTGTGTTGCCATCAGAGAGACAAGCTGGACTCTGCAGGTGCTGGTGCTGGTGATGGCGGTGCCCCGGCTGAAGGCGGGCCCTTCAGAGGATGCCGCCGTCTCTCAGGTCTGCTCAGCCTGCAGGGCCAACCTAGGCCAGGACAGAAGGTCCAGGCCAGGAGGTGGGATCCTTTGCTATGATGCCAGTGTCTCTTTAATGTCCAGTGGCAGAGTCCCTTTAACACAGAAGGCCCTCCGTGTTAGCACAAGCAAATGAAAACAAACGAAGGATGGAGACTGACAGGACCAGAACTTCCTTGGGACTTGACCTTGATGGAGAAGAGCAGTTTTCCAAAGGGGTGTCCTGGACAGCTCTGCTGCTGCCGAGCTCACTAGGAAGTTCTACGGGAAACACTGGGTGAAACAAACAGGACTCTTTACTCCGGGTCTAAGAGCCTAAGTTCTGCTCAGATACACTGTGGATACTTAAGATGGGGACCCAGCACGCAGCATTTCTGGAACCTGGGTGCTCGTGGAAATCTTTGGGAGAGTTCTATCAATATCTCATGGACTGGTGTTTCATGGAAGCTGATTTGGGAAGATGCCGCCCAGATTTCCCACGTTGCCCTCTGCCTTGTGCCGCGTGCACCCGCCTCGTCTCTCCAGCACCACCTGCACGCTCCCGCCTCTGAGTGCTGGCGAACGCCCGCTGCTCGCCCTTTCCATCTTCTGTCCACCTGAAGTCCCCTCCATGCCGCAAAGTCTTCCACAGGCTCCCAGCTGGACTTAGTCACTTGCTGCTTTGGTCGCCTCAGATGGACTGCAGCGGACTCGTGTTGTTCCCTTGTGTCTTTGAGGCACAGCTCAGGGCCGGGCAGGTGGCAGGAGGGTGATCAGCGCAGGCCACGCCGGGTGTGCCGAGTGACACCTGTGGACGGGTGTGAGCCTCGCCTCCTGGCTAGAGCTTCTCTCCCTTTCATCCCCTCTGTGCAGTTCAGTGGTGTAAACCAGCCACACCCCCAACAGGGAATACTTATTTTGGCTTTCAAGGTATTTTAGCTTACCGCTCATTACCTGGGAGGCAGGGTTCCCAGAGATGGGCCATTATGTATAATTTAAACTTAGAGGCAACATCCCTTTAGTGATGAACTTGTAGCAGAAGCAGCAGACTATAAAGGTTAAAGTAAAAGAAATAGATCCAATATGGAGTCAGATTGGTTCTTCCCTATTACAATTCCCCACTGTCCATGTCCATTCCACAGGCTCGTGGGGAAAAAGGGTGTCCACTGCTCTGGCTACTTCCTGCTGAACGGGGAGTGGGGTAAGAGGGTGATCGTGGAATGGACTTGATCAGCTCTGGACAAGGAATATTCCTGAGAATCTTTAGTCAATAGCAAATCCTCTTTCCTTCTTTATCTACAACCCTTTGACCCTGATGAAACCTCTTAGCACTCTGTGGAACTTGGAAACGTGGAAAGAACCTGGAAATGTGTTGAACTTGGAAACTTGGGATGTGGAAAGAAATTTCTCCATGTCTGGAGCATCGCGCTCCCTTCCTCTGCTGCTCACTGTGCGGGAAGCATGGACAAGACCGGAGGGAACCAGCTGAACTGCTTACATGTTCTCTTCCTCCCAAGTGAAACCGGGGGCATTTTCTTGTTTAATTATTAATGCTCTAAATCAGAAGGTGCCCGCTATGTTAACCTCTGTCACTCCGAGTGCAGTCGGCCTAATAACCGCTGCGGTGGGATTGATTTTCCCTCAGTCATCTCATCAGCATGTGTCTCTGGGATCCGTCCTCGGAGAGCGAGCCCGGGGAAGCCCCATTACAGTTAATGGCGATGAGTGGCCCCCGTGTGCGAACGGCCTCTTTCTGGCTGCTCTTCACTCCATGTCAGTGAAGTGTCTGAGACAAGGAGAAACACATTTTCTAAAATCAGGTCCCGAAAGGAACTGACTGGTAACAGCCTAGGACTTGACCCCAGCTTCAAGGCACTTACAGACACATCAGAAGAATCAAGTCAGCACGCTGGGGAAGATGTCAGGGCAAGATGGGAGGTGATGGGTGCTGGACCGTGTGGCCGGGCTGTAAGCTACGGGAGTGTAGTGTGTCTGGCCTGTAGTGGGCACCAAGCTCCGCAGGGTTGGGACGGGGGCTGGGGCTGAGCTGGACCTGCCGTGGATGGTGTTTAGATGTGCGGAGTTGAGGAAGAAGGGCATTGAGAGCGGGGGAGCAGCGTGATCAAGGCCCGGCCATGAGAGAGCAGGAGACCCCACCAGCCTGACCCAGGAAGAGACGGATGGGTGATAAGGTCGCGATTTTTAGACTGGCCACATTCACAGGAAAAGTCCGAGAGCTGAGAGGGTCTCAGAGGCGTCACCTCTTTCACTCAGGCTAGAAATCTTCTCCCCCTACCACGACGTATAGAGTGGTCCTCAGACAGGGAACTCTGAGAATGCTGGCGATGGGGCTTGGGTGTGAGTCCTGGGGAGCCCCTCTGCTCTGTAGCCTTAACACAGTCGCAGTAATGGAGGAGTGAGGCCTCAGATTTACTGCCACCTTTACTGGCCGTGTCCTGGGCTCCTGCATCCATTTCCATCTCCTGTGTGCTTACCCAAACACCTATTAGCCTCTCTGTGTCCCTGGGGTCCAGGTATCTCACTGCCCAGTGGGAATCAGCTAAACTGTTTGTCCAGATCTGACTCAGAAAGGTTTTTATGAAGATCGAAACAGATCATCCAACTTATAGCAATGATCCTGGTTACCTCTGCCTGCCACCCGCTTCTGTCACTATGAATCAAAAGAGGCCAGAGGCACAATCTCCTCTGGTCCAGGTGGCCTCACCCTTTGATAGTAGAAGCTTCGTAAGTTTGAAGATGCGGCCAGCGGGTCCCCTCCGGAGGATGATGGAGTTGACAGGAGCCGCCAAAGTGAGACAGGACCACGGAGAGAACCAAGACGGGGCATTCTCTGCCCTCGGCATTCAGACTCTGTGCCTTTCCGAGTATGTGCGCCTTTGTTAATTTCTTTGATTTATCTGATGCCTGAGCAGCCCAGCCCACACCTAGAAGAAGATGCTCAAACCCCAACTCATGCCCTGTCCTGGGCAGGCTCTTCCTCCTCCGGAGGGTGAACACCGCTCCTCCTCTTTGGGGAGAATACGTTGAAATGACCTGTAGCCCTAGCGCTATGTGGACTCCAGTGTGCGATGCGCCTCTGGTCCAGGTGCTGACTGGGCTTCGAGGCCGGCCGGGGTAGGGAGTGAGGGAGGTGGGGAAGTGGCAGCTGGGTTGGGAGAGCCTGGTGGGGGAGTTAGGAGCAGCTGTAACTTGTTACGCCTGGACTCTGCAAATTGAGCAGAAACACCAGAATCGCTTTTTCTCTTTCTTAACAGATTTTCAGATTCCATTTAGCCAGATTATTTCCAGATCTCAAACAGAGAGAAAAACCTCATTAATCATCAGTTGGACCCCCATGGTTACACAGAATTTGTGGCAATTTGTTTATCGTTGAAGGCGCTGCTAAGAAAGAGTTTAACAAGGAAATTACTGGGGGTGGGGAGGAGAGAGTTTAACCTTTCACGAAGGCAGGAGCTCCATTTAGCTTCCCTCTGGGTACAAATGGGGGTGTGTACAACATCCATGCCACTCTTCTGTGTCCCCAAGAAGGGTGTGCTTCCTTGGCTATAAACTCCGGGCCAATGGACTCGAAATCCTCAACCATTTCAAGCCTGGGGACCCCTTTCTGGTGTCAAACACTTTCTATGCCATCCCCCATCCCCACCCCCCAGGTATTAGAAATTGCTTTTTTTTCCCCAAGTGTGGCTGATTGAGAATAAAAGCTCCTCTGAATTCAGTAAAGCTTTTAAGCAAATCACGATAGCATCTATGTATACGTGAAAAATAGTGCTGTCTCTCTAAGCCATCGTGTTCGTTCAGTCTGCAGCTGAGGTTTGGGTACATGTGAATTGCAGGTCCCCTGAGGGTGGCTCTGGGGCTCCCTACACCCCACCAGGTGGGAACCCTTGGGCAGTTCTCTAAGGCTCTATGGGACCACTGAGTCCTGGACCAAAAGGAGCCTCGGGGGACATTTCGGCTGCTCCCACCTGAATGGCTCTCTGCCTGTATGAGGAACCCTTCGTTGGGGAGTCCTCAGTTTAAGGGACCAAGGGCGTTGGCATCTGTGAAAGTCCACTTAATGGCTGTCACATCAGAAGCCTGGGACAAACGCTACAAGCTGCTTCATCGAAGCCTTGCCAGGCTGTCCAAGCCCTCCACCCCACAATGGGTATGACACGCGGAGATGCATCACCCTGGGTGTCAGTGGCTGGTACCCCATGGGAGCAAGAGAAGCAAGGGCCAGCCTTCTGGGGTGCCAAGAAGAGTTTTCTCAGCTTAGGCGTCCATGGGGCCACACCAGACACTTTTCTTCTCTGTCTTCATGGCAGGAAGGAGTAGAGAGAAGAAATGAAGGGGCAAAGCACATCAAAGATGAGGGAGAAGGGGTTTAAAGTGGTAGATCCTGGGCTCTTGATCCAAGGATGGGCTCGGGCCCGAGGGCGCCCTGAAATCACAGCCAAAGGTTGTTCATGTGGGCGTTTTTCGGGGGAGAAGATCTGTCACTTTCGTTAGATTCTCAAAGCAGTCCAAGAAACTTTCAGAAGTCCTGGCCTGAAGTTTCAAAGTTTCCCTGACTCAGGCTTCCCACTCCCCAGTTACTCAGAACTGGTGAAGTGTTACTGTGGTCATCAAAGCCTGCAACTGTGAAATATCAAATGCTCGTTACACGGTGATGATGGGAAAGTTAGTCTGCTTAGCGAGTCTCTTCTGCCACTTCGTGTGAGAAGTCTTGGTGCCAAACAGATGCTTGGGAAGACGATCTGATTAATGACGCTGCCTCCTTTGTTCCCAGCACAGGGCCCAGGATGGCGCTCTCAGTGATGGGGCTCATCGTCTGCTGCCTCCTGCAAACCATCCTCTCACTGAACCCCGAGGACCCCAACGTGTGCAGCCACTGGGAGAGGTAAGATGTGGCTCTTGAATGGCCAAGCACCCCCCAGGGGGGCCTCACCCTGGGCTCGGCACTGCTGGGACAAAAGCAGAGGCAGGAGGTACAGAAAGTGTCCCCAAGGGCCTGCAGTCCAGGTGGGGACACAGCACAGACTCTGAAAGGTGGGCCGAAGCCGTCTAGATCCCACCTGAGACTCAGTGCTTTGGGGGCCAGGGTGGGGGCGTTAAGTGACAGGCAGTGTAAATGATGCAGTCTGGTAATTGACAATGTACTTCCATTCCTCTCTGCATTCACACTTCCCAACCATTTTACAGATGAGGAAGTAGAGGCCCAGAGGGGCTCCGTGCCCGTCCACAGGCAGACAGGTGGGGTACAGTGAGGGGCTGCGGTCCGGATGTCTTGTTTCCTGATGCGGCGGTGCCTTCCTGGTCTCCCAGGACTGGCAATGAAGCAGCAGCTCAGATGTGGGGGGTGGCCAGCAGCCTGCCCAAGGAGGGTAGGTGAGGAGGCCCTGCTGCTTCTGATCTGGTGGGGGTGGGGGAGGTGCCTCAGAAGAGCCAGCTGCATTCTGGCTGCGGCACTCGGCCCAGGGGGAACAGGCCGGGGCCCTGCAGATGGCCTGACTTTGAAGCACAAGGTGAAAGTATTGATTTTGGTGAGCAGGAAGATAGTGACCAGAGACCCAATCAGGAAAAACCGAATTAAAGCCTGGAATTGATTGGCCATGCTGACCAGGATGACTCTGCCACTTAGATGTTAATAAATCAAATGAATAAAATTAAGATGAGGGCCTGATGGAGGAAGCGGCTGGTAGAGGAGGGCAGGTGAGTGGGGAGGGCTGTGCTCCATGCCTGTGAGGGCGCTGGACGGACTGGCTGGGGAGGCAGGGGGACAGTGCCCGCACGGGCGTGGTCTCCAGTGACTGGGGGCTGGAGAAGGCAGCATTGCCACTGGCGTGCCCCTTTGTTGGTGAAGTGGGAAGAACACAAGATCTGTGACAAGAAGACCTCGGTTCACTCCAGTTTGAGTTTTTCCACCTGTTAGCCCTATGACTTTGGAGGTGTCTCTGAGCCTACTTCCACCTCTGTATGTAAAGTTGGGGGAGTCATTACCCCTGCCTCACAGCCTTGTTGAATGAGCAGGGTACCAGTTTCATGAAAGGGCTTTGAAGATCATAAAGCGCAATTATTGTTGACAACTCTGGCTTTGCAGGAACAGTTATCTGTCATAGACTTTAATGCGCATCACGCTCCCTGGAGCGTGGATGAAAATCAGAATCTCCTGGATCCTCTCCGCAGACTCTGATTCCATAGGTCTGGGTTGGAGCCTTGGAACATGCAGTATTTTTATGCTTTCCACGTGATTGTGAGCTGAACCAGGCCCCTTGCCTCCTCTGGTTTTGGTGAATGTAAACCTTTATTTCCCAGTGGGTGAGGTGGAATTCCACGTTGGTCTCTGGTTTGCAGACTCCGGTCTCAGCAACCCCTTCTCGTCCACCTTTCCCGATTGGGACACAGCTGCTTCCTGCCAATGTCTGTGCTTCCTGCTCCCGAAATGCCTCCTTCCTGTCTGCTCACCTATGCCTTTCCCAGTGCCTCCAACCAAGCCCCTCTCCTCCAGGAAGCCTTCCCTGATGGCAGGGCTCACCCTGACGTTTCTCTTCTCCAAGTGCCATTTGCACCAGTGGCTCCCTTCAGACTTAAACCAAACTCTCTCATTTTTTAAACCTGCCCGACATAAATACGTCTGGAAAATAGTCTGAACCAAACCTGCACTGAGCCGGCATTGCAGGCTGACTGGGCTGTCAACTGAAGATACTGCTTGAACGGGAGGACGTGGAGTGAGTCTAGCAGCAGGAAGGAGGCCTGCGGACCCCCTGGGCTTCCCCAGTCCCCACGTCACTAGGTGCCTCTGCCTTCTTGGTTCTTCCAGCGGAGCCCTACTGCCAGCTACACGTGGATGAGTCTCATCTGTGTCATTCCCAAAACACACCCTGGTCCCAGGAGACCGCTTGGGGGGAATTTCCCAGCTGGATTAGTGCTTCTGGCAGGCTCCCCGTTAATTACGCCCCTCCACCATAAAGCCCAGCGGAAAGGCCTCCCCTGGCTAGTAAAGCCCGGCTCTACAAGATTAGTCTGGCCCCTCATTAGCATGTTGGCAAATGAGCGCGTTAAACCACCCAGCCGTGAAACCAGAGGCGCACACTTCACCCAGAGACTTGGACTTGGTTCAAGGTCTGGTTGCCAGACTCGCCCCGCTCAGGGCACCCCTGCAGAAACAGATCAGTCCCCCATGACACCCTCCCCACCGCCTCTGCTGGGCTGATGCCTTTTCTCTGAGCACCCACTGTCCCCCGTCAGTGCCGGGAGGGGTGCCTGAACCCCCAGGGGCTTAATTAACAAAGGCGAGGAGTCTGGTCTGTGTGTGGGTCTTGCTCCCCGTCCCCCACAGTGGTCAGGAAGGAACTACCCCTCAGTGCCTAGCAAGGAGGTGAGGCACCGCCAGTCGTATAATGATGGTGGCCAGCATCCATTAGACTCTGGCTGCATACCTGCTAAGCATTTCACATGTATTATCTTGTGTTGAGCATCTTATGTGTTATCTTGCTTTAACTGCCCCCCACCCTGAGAGGTAGTTACTACATTTGCCCCCCTTAATCCTCACAGTAAGTACATGAAGTCCCTGGTAATATTTATCCAAGGCGTACAGGTGAGGAAATGAGGCTTATACCTAGTGCCGTATCTAAGGACTTGCTGCTAACAAGGGCCAGGGTACGAACTTGACCCAGGGCCGTGGACTCTTAGCCGTTCATTCTCATTCCTCTAAGTGAGGGACTCAGTAGACAAGCAGGAGTACTGGGGCACGGATCTTCAGAGTTGGAAGGGACTTTGGAAGCCAGGGGCGGGTGTCAAGCAGCTTCATCTTCTCCAAGCCTGGCGATTAAACAGGGGTTTGGGCCATGTCTGCAGAGACGTGTTCCTCTGACGCATGTCTCTGATGTGTGGCCGGTAGAGGCTCAGCAAGGACCCTCCGTACATCCTCCGTGCTTTGGAGAAACAGAATGTCCCTCCACCCTGAGTCCATTGCGTTGCTGCCTGCTCCTGGCTTCCTCTTTCTGAATTCGAGACCTTTGACATTTCAGGCAGCAGAGAGCCTGCTGGGGACCCACTCAGTGCAGGCCAGCCCCCCTGCAAGTAAACTGACAGTTTCCTCGGGCAAAGCAGACGGGTTTTTGTAGCCCGAACCTGGCCATCTGGCCCAGGTCAGTGAGCCTTCTGGGGGAAAACACTGAATAATACCAACCGACAGAAAAATGAATTCCTGAAATCTCAGCTGAGGTCCTCTCCCAACCCGTGCGAGAAGTGTGAGTCCTTCCTTTACACCCTGGCTTGACTGCCCTTTCATGCAACTCCTGCCGAGACAGGCAGGTGGAAAGGCTTATCTTGCTGAGGATGAGACCTGCTTCCCTGGGGCTTCTACCCACTGGTCCAGGTTCACAGCGAGCAGGCAGGTGACAAGATACCACTTCGATCAGGAGGTCCGGGGGCACATCCTCGATGAACCCCCAGCTATGCTAGAGATACAATAGAGCAGAAGATAGCTGGGTGACCTCGGGGAAGTCACTTAACCTCTCTGATGCTCAGTTCCCTCACCTGTAAAATGAGGCTAACAATGCCACCACCTACCTTACAAAACTGCATGAGGATTAAGAGGGCACTTAACACAAGGCATTCAAGTATTAGCAGTTATTGGTATAAGCTGGATGACCTGGGCAACTTGCCGCCAAGTCTTAGATTCTTCATCTGTGAAATGGGACCACTTACTTCACAGAGTTGCTGCAAAGATCAGCTTCCATGCAGGTGCTTTGAAAACCATAAAGATCTGAACAAACATAAGGTATTTTAAAACTTGCTGGCTTTTGCCTTCCAGAGCCCCACAGAATAAACGCAAGCCCTCCTGTATTGATTCTCTGTTAAATGAACAAATGAACTAAGACTTCGGAAAATGTGCTGGGCCAGAGGGCAGTAAGGGATGTGTCCTGGATCCAACCCAAGGTCAGGGAGGTTTGAGTGCTGAGAGCGTCTGGGGAAAGGTTGGAGCCCCTGGACGCTTGGCTATGGGGCCTGGCTCCCCTGGGGAGAGAGGCCCCTCCCTGAACATCAGCTCCCCTTCCCAAGTGCTGACCACAGCTTCCATCTTCCATCTGGTTCTCAGCTATGCCGTGACTGTCCAGGAATCGTACGCACACCCCTTTGACCAGATCTACTATACACGATGCACAGACATCCTCAACTGGTTCAAGTGCACCAGGCACCGGTGAGTACCACTCTCCAAGGTGGGCGGGGGCGGGGGGAGAGACGGGCCCACAGGCTCGTCTTCCTGCAAGTTAGTAAAAGGCCGCCGTAGCAGATGGAGTCAGTGCACAGCCTGCATCCCCTCCGTACCCACTCTTGCTCCTCACCTGAGAGGCTCCGCTGAGGACTTCCTCGTAGGCAGAGCAGCTCACTGGGGCAGGGCAGGCCAAAAGTGCCAAGAATTCCTGCCCTCGCAGGACACCCCTCACCCAATGTCACATGGGGAGTTGTGGACAAACACCTCAGCTTCCTTACCCTTAGGGTAGAGAGGACAACTTTGAGGTAGGTTCTGCATGTATCCCCATGGTCCCCAGTGGGACGGAACCCCAGTCGCCCACAGCAGTAGCCTGCTCAAAGGCACACCCTGAACTGGCTGCCTTTACTTCCCTGTCTCATTTTCCCACTCCCTTCCCAGTGCTTCCTAGAATCACCTCCAATACACTGCTGATTTTTGAATCCTTGTCTCCGAGTCTGCTTCGGGAGAAATCCGACCTCAGAGGGCCATCATCTGAGCAGATGTAGCCCCATGCAGGGTACCCGACTTGGAGAACAGGGTGCAGGCTAGAATTCAGCACCTCTCGGCACCCAGCCCTGGCGGTCCATCTGAGCAACTGCATGTGGAAATCCTGCTCCATTGTCTGCAGCCCTCCTGGAAATCATACCAGGTCCTCATGGCATCGGGGAGAGAGGAGGGGCAGGGAGAGAGAACACGGTTTGTTGGACAACCCTGGGCAAGTCACTTTATTTGGAGGCGATTCCTAGCATACTCATCAGACATACAATGATCCCCGCCCTACCTTCCCACAGGGCCCAGTGAGGTCAGGGATGTGCAGAAACTTTGAAAAGAGCACAGGAAAGTGGAGAAAAGCCAGGTATTAGATATAGGCAAGGTGGCTTTGTTATCTGAGGAGTGAAATTTTAGCCGATGAAGGATAAGTGAAGGAGAGACCGCCAGGTAGGCCTGTTTCCTAGTTGCTGAGCATCTGTGTTGCTTCCAGATTTGTTTTGCCTCCTCCTTGTGGGCCTGCTCTCTCTTCGGGGTTTATGCAAACATCATGGTGGGCAGCATTGTGGATGGCGAAACTTGCAGTATGCTGAAAAAGCCGAAGTCCTGGATTTCTTTGGGGTTTTGCTAGTAACTTGCTGTGAGACTCACAGAGATAACAGCTGCTTTAAAATCCGTCTGCTAATTGCAACATCTGGGTCATCTCAGGGTTGGTCTTCATTGATTGCCTTTTCCCTTAGGTACTATTTTCTGGTTTCTTTATGTGTCTAGTAATTTTGGATTGTATTCTGGGCATTATCAACAACAGACTGTGGAGACTGAATTCTCTTATGTTCCTCCGGATTTGTTGTTGTTGTTTGTTTGTTTTAGGAGCCAGTTAACTTGGCTGAACTCAGTTTCCAAACTCTGAAAGTTTGGTATTTTTTAGCCTTTGCTGGACTGCCTGGAACCTGCCCTCCACACATGTAATTCAGGGGCCAGAAGTTCGGGCAGAGGTTTTACAAAAAATTTTGGGGCTGTCTCCTTTCAAGGGTTTCCCTTGTCACTTTCTGGTGGCTGGCTCCACCTTTGACTTATCCTGTGGTTCCTCAAAACAGTAAGGCTGTGTGTCCTCTGTTTGAATTTCAGCCACCTGGAATATCGTTGACCGGGGCCTGCCCTTGGGCTCACCTTGCCCAGTGTCATTGCCCTTCTTCCAAGTTCCTCCTTCCCTCCAGCATCTGCCTTTGTTCTCTCATTAGGGCTTTTCAGGTAGTTCTCCCCTGAGAGTGTACAGTTGTTTGCAGGGGCGTTGGTACAATAGGAGCTCCTCATCCATTACTGCATCCCCTTCCTCTAGCCTGTGATTGTGAAATGAGGAAGTGGGACCAAATCCCCCCACCGTGCCAAGTTAGCTGCCTGTGGCCCTGGTCAAAGGCAGAGGCAGACAGAGAATCCTGCTCCCTTGATGACTCTATCAGGCCCTGTGCCAGAGCCAGGCTTGCTGTGAGGAGTGGCCTTGTCGGGGGCTTGTAGGCTGGAGCTGCCGTCCATCACCACCGGGAAAGGGTGAGTGAGAGGCTGCTTATTAAAATGGGCTGCATTCCTGGAACATGAACTATTTTACTAAATTATTGAGTCACCTTGCAGCCTTCCTGATGACCTGGAATGTGCATGCCCACAGCTGCACCATCAGTCTCCCACAGCGTGGGATGACGTGTTTGAACACAGCATCCTTCTGAGAGCAGCCCGGCCCCGGCCCCTTCCCTCTCCTGCTTCCCACCACAGCACTGGGAGCAAGAAAGGACGGGAAAACTGGAAGCAGTGGGTGACACCTCTCTGCTGGGAGGCCTTCGTGATGCTGAGACCGCCGCCCCCCTGGAAGGGCTTGGGGGTAGCCTCGTTTGGTAGGAGGCACGGATGCGTGACCTCTGAGTCAACCCTGAGTCATTCTTTATCTGAGAGGCTCACACAACTCCTGAAATTGCCAGGAGCTGCCTGCCTGTGCCAGGGAAGTAGCTTCACTTGGAGGCCGGCTTACCTTCCATCATGGGCTTTTGACAAAGTAGAATGACCTTAGTTTACGACATTCCCAAATATAACAGATTTCCCTGGAATCCTTCACTGTCATTTGTCATAAAGTGAGGGCTTTAAGGACTGGGAGGGCTGGCCCAGCCTGTGCTGTAGGACTCCCTGCCCGAGTCGGCCTGACCCTCCGTGGAGAGCAGGCTGTAGGCACCTCCAGTGACCAGACCTTGCTGCTCTGTCGCCCAAAGAGGGATCCGCAGGGCCATTCATAAGCTCAACAAGCCACCTTGTGGGAACTGGCACAGGGCGTAGATTAAACCTAGTGGCTTTGAAATCAGAGGGACGGGTTTGAATCCTGGCCCTGAAACTTATGTGCTCTGTGACCTCAGGAAAGTCATTAACTTCTCTGAATCTGTTTTCTCATCCATAAAACAAAGAGAGGGGAATACCTACAATAAGAATAAACACTTTAAAAAAGAAATAAAAGGGGCATAATAAAGCTACCTGACTCAGGTAGAGAATAGAATGAGATTTTGCTTATAAATCTCTCTGGCTCAGGGTGAAGTCTCAATGCCTGTGTCAGCATGAGAGCTGGAACCCCGGTCTCTGACTCCCTGTCCAGAGTTCCTACTGTCTGGGCCTTAGTTTCTTCGCAAAAGCCAGTGTCAGTTCTGAGCCTTCCCAGGGATGGCGTGCGAAGCTCTTCCCTAAGGGGTGTTATTTTTGGTGTGAGGGAGATTAAGCCACTCTCCGGGACCGAGTCAGACTCAGGGGGTCCTTTTGTTGGTCCTTCAGTTCTCCCAGTGGGTGGGCCAACCCCCAGGGGGCCGTGATCAGTCTTAGGGTGGTGGTGGTTGGTGTAGAAACTCTTCAGGGCCAGCTTCTGCCCAGGTCACCCCTTGGGCTGCTTCAGCCCGGGGCCTGGAGGTTTTAAGGAGGAGCCCCTGGTTACCCTCTGCAATGTCACCCGGAACGTATTTTCTGCAGCCCTTTTAAATACCACTGTGAAGAGACTGGGGGAAAGTCAGCAGGCGTCAGTAATGCATTCGGCATCACAATGGCTCAGATCTCACCATCGATTTTTCTTTATTGTGATTTTTTTTATATTCGAAGCCACCATGCATTTTAAAGTAATTATTGAATGGCATCCTTGCTATAGCTTAACACAAATATCATTCTAACAGGAGTGATTGATTTTCAATACTTTCAAGTGGCTTTCTTCCTTGTGCCTTAGGATCAGTTATAAGACGGCGTATCGGCGTGGGCTCCGGACCATGTACCGGCGGAGGTCGCAGTGCTGCCCTGGCTACTACGAGAATGGAGACTTCTGCATACGTATGTGGGGGCTGCAGCAGGGCGGGGAGGGGAGGGGGACCCCGGGGAAGGGAGGGAAGGCTGTCATCCCGGCCCTGGGCAGCAAGCCTCAGCTGACCTGAGGGCTCCAGTAGTCTTTGCCAGCTGCCAGCTCAGAGGGGATGATGAGTCTGGTGCCAACACGTTAGCACACATTTGTCTATCAGATCAGCCTACTAAGAGGGTGGACGGAAGCAGGTCCGTTCTAGGCTTTGATGGGATCAGGAGAGATGTGGACTTTCTCCGCTCTGGGGAGCGATGCTGAGTGCCTGGCACAGAGCTGAGGAGCTCAGGAAGGCTTTGTTGGATGGGAGGAAGGTGGAATGGTTAAATGGATGGCAAGATTGTTGGATAGATGGATGGACGAATGGATGGAAGGGAGGAAGCAAGGAAGGCTCCATCACTGATGGCAAGTGTAAGATCACAAGGGACTGGTTCCAGGAAGTGGGCGGATTTCCAAAAAGGACGGGGGGACGCTGAAGAAAAGGTGGTCATGTGAAAGACACACCTTATTTCTTTCCCTGTTTGTCTAGAGTGGCTCAGAAAACTGAAGCCTTAGTGTCCCCAGAGAGACAAGGGCTGAGTTTCTGGCAGTGGCAGGCCTCTGGGTTGTGCAGTGGGAGCCACTCCCAGAGAAGCTGGGAGCCCCACGTTTAATGACTGAGTGGAGAATCCAGACTGAGAGCCTCTGCCTCTTCATTTGGAGGCAGATTCGGAGAGTGAGTTTCCTTGTTAATATTCTCCTTGCCATTCGGGAGGGTCGAGCGAGCTTGTACCAGAGAGAGAATTTGGGCAGAGTGGGCGTACTGCTGTTGGGAATGAAATGACAATTTTCCCTACTGATGTTACATCTCCCCTAATGCTAGAGAAACTCGATTCTAATTGAATTACTGGAATGAATGAAAAATGCTCTCCCAAGTAGGTTCAATAGTGCTGGTTTTGCAGGAAAAATACAGATACTTACCCAAAACAAACCCAAAAAAGGCTGTTTCTCAGGAGCAGGGCAGAGGACTGGGCTGGGACAAAGCCTTGGCCGCACCCCACCTGGGATGGGGTTACGACGGGGACCAGGTGCAGGAGTGAGATCAGGACTGAAGCTTTCTGCTGCTGCTCTGTGTGTGTGAAGCGGAGCGAGAGTCAGGCATGGGGTGGGACAGGGGACTCATAAAGCCCGAGCAGGACGGATGTGAGCGGCCCTTTGGAGCTCAGGGCACAGTGATGGACTCAGGGAAATTATAAAGGGAGTTCGGACGTCAGCATGGGCATCTAGGAACAGATGAGCCCATCCCCTTTCTAATTTCCATTTAGTGGACGTTGGTAGAGCTGTTGGAAACTGAAGAGCAGGGCAGAAGCACTGAGTGTCCTGATCACACAGGCTCAGTTTTGCTGACTGGGAAGGGCAGCTTATAACCTCCCACCTACTCCTTATGTAACAGCCAGGGACTGACCACCAAGCTGGTGCCACAGGCCTGTCCATCTTCAGCAAGCCAAGCTAGAAAACCACTTTCAGGTCTGAAAGCTTTTCCTAGGAGGGCACAGGAGAGATTCCACAGTGAGCTGGGGCATTGTGCATGGTGGTGCTGGGAGGGAGGGCAGTGAGGGGCAGGAGGCACACCAGCCTCGGTTTGCATCTCAGCTCTGCCACTCCCAGCTTCTTCCTCTTTATCCTCATCATCTTCAGGGTACACTCCATGCCAGGCACCATTCTGATCACCTTCCATTCATCAGCACATCAGTTCCTTACAGCAGCCCTCTGAGGTAGGTACCCTATTTCTCCCATTTTACAGATGGGGAGACTGAGTCACAGAGCATGTAAGTAATTTGACCAAGATCACACAACTAGAAAGTGGTGGTGCTGGGATTTGAACCCAGGCTGTCTGGCTCTAGAATCTGCTCTGAACCACTCAGGCAAGCTGCCTCTCTCTTTGTGAGGAAGGCTGGACAGAGACCAGACAAGCTCAGGCGGGAGAGGATGCCATGACCGGCGATCACTCAGAAGGCTCTGTAGGGGCTGGGGCTGGATGGAACGTGGGTGGGAGAGGGCATCCCATCTGCAAAGACATGGAGGTGGGCCTGACTGCAGTGGGCAGATCTGGGCTGGGAGAAGGGCAGGTGGATCTGGCTGGATGAGGCAGGTATTTTATTTTATTTAATTGTTTAAATTGAAGTCGAGTTGATTTACAATGTTGTGTTAGTCTCTGGTGTACAGCACAGTGATTCAGTTATACACACACATAGATATTCTTTTTCATTATAGGTTACTGCAAGATATTGAATATGGTTCCCTGTGCTGTACAGTAGGACCTTTTGTTTCTCTGTTTTCTATATAGAAGTTAGTATCTGCAAATACCAAACTCCGAGTTTATCCTTCCCTAGTCTTTTCCCCCTTGGTAACCATAAGTTTGTTTTATGTGTCTATGAGTCTGTTTCTGTTTTGCAAGTATGTTCATTTGTGTCATTTTTTTAGATTCCACATATAAGTAGTAGGATATGGTATTTGTCTTTCTCTTTCTGGCTTACTTCACTTAGTATGATGATCTCCAGGTCCATCCATGTTGCTTCAAATGGCATTACTTCGTTCTTTTTCATGGCTGAATAGTATTCCATTGTATATATACATCCATATATTATATATATGTATGCATAATACATATTTTATTTATATATATATATATATACACACACACACCACAACTTCTTTATCTAGTCGTCTGTCAGTGGACATTTAGGTTGCTTCCGTTTCTTGGCTATTGTGAATAGTGCTGCTATGAACAATGGGGTGCAGGTATCTTGTCAAATTATGGTTTTCCCTGGGTATATGCCCAGGAGTGGAATTGCTGGATCATATGGTAAGTCTATTTTTAGTTTTTAAAGATACCTCCCTAATGTTTTCCATAGCGGCTGTACCAATTTACATTCCCACCAGCAGTGTAGGAGGGTTCCCTTCTCCCTACACCCTCTCCAGCATTTATCTCTTGTGGACTTCTGAATGATGGCCATTCTGACTGGTGTGAGGTGATACCGGGGGAGGCGGGTGTTGATTTCCTCGGGCTGCTGTTGCAAAGCACCGCAGCCTGGACGGCTTAAACAACAGGAGTTTATTGTCTCACTGTTCTGGAGGTTAGAAGTCCAAAGTCAGGGTGTCAGCAGGGTTGGTTTCCTCTGAGGGACCCTGTGTGAGGGAGATATGTTTCCGGCCTGTCTTCTAGCTTCTGGTAGTTCCTTGGCTTGTGGCAACATAACCCCGTTCTTCATATGGGTTTCACCCTCTGTATATGTCTCTGAATTTCCCCTTTTTATAAGGACACCAGTTATATTGGATTAGGGCCCAGCCTAATAAACCTTATTTTAACTTTATTTCCTCTGTGAGAACCTATCTCCAAATAAAGTCTCATTCTGCATTACGGAGAGTTAGGACTTCAACATGCGAATTTTAGGGGGACAAAATTCAACCCATAACAGGTAGGGGTTGGCCATTATCAGCACTCTTGTTCCTGCTTATTGTGACGGGAGGAAAGGGAGGCGGAACCAGCTGGCCCCTCCATGAGCTTTGTCACCCCTCCAAGGGAGAGTGGAGGCCCCAGGGTCTGGGAACTTGTGAGAGGGAGAAATGGTGGGCAGAGGGTGAAGGATGGTGCCCAGGGTGCCAGACGAGAAGCTTGTAGGTCTGAGAGCATTCAGGAGCTGATGCCCTGCAGCCCCTGACCCTCCACTCCTCCCTCTGCATCCCTTGGAGGCCAGAGAACCTGTGTTCACCAGAACCTGGTGAGAACCCGCCCGATGCCAGAGTGCTCAGGACCCTGCACAGACACACGGCCTGCGCTCTGGGAAGGGGCGGGCGGATGTCAGTCTCCTTCCAAACCACCTTCCTGGACCCTGTTTCTCAGCAGGTGGTAAAGGACTCGGGCCTGGGAGTAAAAGCCTTGGCTGGCTCTGCCGCCAGCTTGCTATGCAATCTTGGGTAAGTCCCTTTGCCTCTCCGGACCCACTGTGGCATAGGATGGATCATCCCTGTGGGTGGAAGAAGGAAAGATAAGCAATGAGTGAGAGTGTCCTGGAGAGCATAAAGCTTGGTACAGATGCATCATGGCCTATTTTCTCCTCTTTGGACCATTTCCTCTGCCCCAGAAATGCCATCCTCATCCCAGAGCCCTTGGCAGCCCTTCTGGGACCATCTGCACCAGAGCTACTCATCCCCTTCCATCATCTACAGATACGGCTGAGTCCTGGCCCCTCTTGGTGGCCCAGGCATCAAATATCTCCTGGAGATCACTGGGCATCCTTTCTTGCGAGATAGGGCAGTGGGCATCTTTACCGCTGCAGAGAGAGCTCATTTTAAGTCACTTATGTGGTGAGGTGTGAGGCACCACGGAAAGCTCTGTTCTTTGAAAATATTCACCAGTGTCAGAATGGATGGGCTGGTTATGCTGCCGTAGCAAACAACACCCAACTCCCAGTGGCTTAAAATAATTAAGTTCTATTTCTTGTTCATGTTACATGTCCATTGTGGGCCAGCTAGGGTCTGCTCTTGTCAACGTCACCCCAAGACCCAGGCTGACGGAGCAGTTGCTCTCTGGGGTGTTGCTGGCTGGCTTGGCGGAGGGTAGAGGGTTCTGGCGGGTCTCGAAGGCAGAGGGCAGAAATATTTAGTGAGTAGTGTTGTCGCTTCTCACAGGTGCCATCGATGCCACAGATCAGAATTCACAGCGCTTGGGGGTGTTTTATTGAGTACCTGATAACCTAATCTCAGAATCACCTGGAAGACTTGTTACCATATAGACTCCCAGTGGGCGCCAGCCTCAGAGTCTCAAATTCCGACCTGGGGTGGAGCTGGAAAATTTGCATTTCTAACAAGCTCTCAGGGGATACTCATGCTGCTGGAATGGGAACCACGCTTGGAAAACCAGTGGTCTTCCTTACATTAAGGCGTGGTTGCTGTGCTGACCACAGCTTCCAGGAAATTGCAAAGAGCCCAGCAGGTT